TGGGCCGGACCTAGTCAATCCCAGACCTTGAATCAAAAAATAGGTCCAGCCCATTCTGACCTGGGCGAGCCCGAGTTAGACCCGACCCAACCTTAAAACCGGTGCGACGGGTCATGGTCTGAATCGGCCCGGCCCACGCCCATCCCTACCATCTTTTCGAGCTACTGTAAGAGCTGGGGAATAAACTTCAAATATCAAGACAAAATACCAAAGAGTGAGAGATAAATCTGCAGACACAAAATAAGAAAAAGGGTTAGTTTCCATAAAAATCACCGATCTTTGAGTGGATGTTGCACATAATTTATCCAAACTTTATTTATCTCACATAACCCTCCCTCTTGATCTTTTCGAGTGTATTACAAAACCCCAACTTCAATTTTCTCAGCAGATCTTCCTACATCTACTTAGTAAATAACTAAATTTTTTTTGAGAGGAAAAAAAATCTAGCATTTAGGGAAGGGGGGGATGTTGGCTGTAAAGTTGGAATGTTTTCGCTCAAAGATATTTTACTTATTTTCAAATTACGTGTGTTACTGTCAGATACCCCACGATTTATGTGAGATAAACAAAGGCTAGGGTTTATGTGCAACACCCTCCAAAGTTTAGGGCTTTATGTGAAATTATCCAAATAAAAGCCCTTCCATTAAAGGCTCAGCGTCCAGCGGCCCCGCGTCCAGCCACGCGGCTTCTTACGTCGTCTCTCTCTCTCGTCCAAATCGATCACTTTCCTTTTTACCCTTTTCCCACGTAACGACCTCCATCAAACCCTAGTTTTTTTCGATCCTCAATCTCTAATTAAAGATCCTTTCTTTCATCAATGAACCCCAACCTTCGTCCTCCAAAAACCCTAACCCCCCTCCTCAACCCCGCGCAGCAAGAGCCAGCTCGCCCCAGGGTTCCGATTCCACCCAACCGATGAAGAGCTCGTGATCTACTACCTAAGGCGCAAGTCTCGCGGCCTCCCCCTCCGCGTCGACGCCATCGGCGAGATCGACCTCTACAAGTGGGAGCCATGGGACCTCCCCCCGCTCGCCCGCCTCGGCAGCCGCCGACCGGGAGTGGTACTTCTTCAGCACTCTCGACCGCAAGTACTCGAACCGGTCGAGGACTAACCGGGCTACGGCCGAGGGGTACTGGAAGACCACGGGCAAGGACCGGGCCGTTCGCCACGGCTCTAGGGTCGTTGGGATGAAGAAGACGCTCGTGTTTCATGCCGGCAGGGCACCGATGGCTCTAATCCCGCTTCTGCTACTGGCCCTCCCATGGTAACTTGATTACCTTGCGGTCTCGTCCCACATTACAATTTAATTTGCCCGCTGCAGTATTTTTTTTCCCCCGGGGTTCTCTTTGTATTGGTTCCTTGAATGATTATCTTGAAATTAGTGCTGCAGATCATTGAAACTGATGCTTAGTCCCTTAAATCGAATTACTTGTTTCAAACTAGTTGGTCTGCTAGTTATTCCATCTGAATAGCTATGGGCCTGTTTGTTTGTACAGGACGCAGCCGAAGTAAATGATGTAGAGGCTAGTTCCGCTACTTGAATATATGTTTGTTTATCTATAAAAGATACTTCTGGTATTTCCTCGTGCCTATGTGGCGATCTTACTCCGACCCTTAATTCTTGGAGCTACATCCGAAGTAGCTTAAACATGAATCAATTTAGGAATAACCTCAATTTTATATCATGAGGATATTATTCATTTCTAAATAAAATACCTAAAGACCCTTTTCCTCTCTTCCTATCCATATTTGAAATGGTCATCCAGAGAAATAAGGGAATGAGGAGGAGAAATACTATTTCCGCTGCTTCCAATTTTTTTGAAAAAACAAACAAAAGAAGTGTAACTTTTGCTATTTCCTACTTCATAATTTTGGAAGTTGCTTGTTTGATCTACTTCCGGTTTCTCTACAAACAAATGGGCCCTAAATATAGTTGGATCATGGATGGTGAATTGCATTTTTACACTCAAATGACCCCCACAAAAAGAGTCCCAATTTTTTTTTAAAGAAATGGATTTAACAGAACAATTTTAAATGGGTGGGGTTTTAACAGGTTTAGAGAAATATATTTGGATTTGGTATAAGTTAAAAGACGGTATATTTGAAAACTCATGATAAGAAGTATGTTAAATGAAAATTTCACTCCAAATCAAATGGTAGCTAACTAGAAGGACTAATTTGAAATGGCTAATAGGACTTGAGGGACTAAATAGCAATTACAATGATTTGACTCATTGCGAAATATTAAAAGGGATCAATATAACAAAAAAAATTCCTTTTTTCCCCATATTGAATTTTATTTGATCGTATTGGTTTGTGGTGGGTGTGGAAGGGTGGTTTTGTTGTGTGCAGGATATTCCAGAAGAGCGGCTCTGGACCACAGAATGGGGCCCAATATGGGGCACCCTTCATCGAGGAAGAATGGGCGGAGGAAGCTGAAGATTTCCTTTTCAAGACGGAAGAGGTATCAACATGTGCTGGTGGTGGTGGGCAGGAATATGTTCAAACCAATGATTTTGAAGAAGAGGTAAAGTTCTGTCATATATACATCATTCTTTTTTTGCGAGAGAGGTTGAAGACTTATTCACTTTTAAGTCATATAGAAGAGGTGAAGTTCTACGAGTGTGTTTGGGGAAGCTTATTTTTTAGTCAAACTAGCTTTTAAACCAGTTTTTTCATTTCTACCTGTTTGGTAAAATACCAGATAAGTTGGCTTATAAGTCCCGTTAAAAAAAAAAAACTGGATTCCCCTACATTAGCTTCTCCGACTTGAAAAAAATTGATTTGAGTTTGGAGACAACATAGGTGCTATGAAAATTCCTCCTTAATGTGTAGCAGTCTTCCAAGTGTTTCACACTAGCTGCCAAACTGGCCTGAATGTAAAGTATTTTGTAAGCCTGGAAGGGAATTATTCTTATTTTTAAGTGAAATTTCAATATTGAAGATCGTTGTAGAAGAAAGCAGTTGCTTAGCTTTCTAGGCATAAGCTGCCGGACATTGAGAGCAGACCTCCTCTGGGTTTATGCAGTTGGGCTGCATCTATGGCCAAAGAGGACTGAGCACTGTCAAGCTATTCAATCATTTAATCATTATGAATTTGAATGGCCTCTTTTGCAGTTTACTTCGTGTAGCCTGATATCCGTCCTGTTTGTGATTTTCCCTGTTTTTTTTAATTTTTTATTGTTTATTTTATTTCTAACGAAGTTCTTCCATCCTTTCTGCTGAACTATCTAAAGCCATAGTAGGTGGTTGCCATGTTATTTCTGTTTTTGCTTATGGTTTTTTGTAGGTCATCTTGTCTATGAATTGTGCTCTTGCCAAACTTCTTTAGTGCTTAAATGGTCCTTATTCTAAAATGTAGATGTTTTGTATCTTTCAAACTCAGTATGTAAGTGCAAGAATAACCTGAAACACAATTTCAAACTCAGTATGAGTGTGACTATAGTTTCCTGGACTGACTGAAACTTAAATGTTTTAGAAATAAAATTCCATTTCATTGCCACAGTGCTCTGGGAGTTTCTTTAGGGAGTCTTGCTATCGTGCAGACCGGACTTCTAAGCGACTACAGTTTTGTGAAGTTGCTGACTGTACAAAATTAGAAATGGTGATTGACCATGAGATGATGAATATAGGATACCTTGACTCGGTTTAATTAGAGGCCAGGACCAAAAAAGTTCCAACAACCATGTGATCATCTGGTCCACTACTGTTCATTGCTGGATTCAAATTCCAACCTGCTTAATAAAGGTGGTTGAGACAGTTGTAATGTCTCTGAAAGACTATGGATCCTATAGAATTGTCTAACCAGCATATACATGTACTCTACAGCAATCCAAGCAGAAGTTTGAACCTCAGGCTAACAATCCTAATAAATAATCTTTTTACTAGTACTGTAGGAAACTTATTTTCTTTCTCCTTATATTCTACCTTATGAATAGAGCTTCTCGCGTCCTTCTTTTAGTTATGATGGAGTTGTAAAATCAAGTTATTGAGTTATCAGTATCACTGCTTTCTTGATGTTTCTTGCTTGGTTAATTCCAAGGGCCCTTGGTTTGTCATACCAATCTGTTGTATATGTTCGTTCTTCACAATAACTTACATGTGTTTTTGTCAGAGGAAAAACCTTTGTTGTTGCATTTATCGAAAATATTAATGTCTGATTCTTTCCTTTATTATTTTTTTGTTTTTTAGTTAAACGTAGAACCTGAAACTTTGGCTCCCTCATTTGTTGTATTCCTCATTTGGATTTTTATTGCACTTTGCTTGTGGGTATGGTCCATGTTGCTTAGTAACGTGACTAATATGACCTTTTCTATTTTTTCATCTTCACAATAGGAATTTGGTTTCATTTCCTTCTCTTTTTGAGAGTGCATTAGTTGTCCTGGAAAGAAAGGATAATCGGAATATAATAAGAACTAGACTATTCAAATTGTTTAAGGAATTATTTACATCATATTATGACCATACAATAGGTAGATTTTATGCTATAAAATGTAGATAATGGACTTGTTTACTCTTTTACTTCTTTTCTAGGTGGACAAATTTTCCCTTTGTTTTGTCTATACTTTCCATCATTGCTGTCACTGGTGCACAGAGGCTATTGCCTAAGGCCTGTCGCACGAGGTGCACACCTCGGTGTATATGCAAGCATATTTTCTATTTTTATTGTTCTCATATCGTTCTTGGAACTTCACCTTTAATTTTCTGTGTGCTTGGTAACTATTGCTATATTTTTTTGTACTCTTGAGCATTTCTGGAAGCAATTATTTCTTGCATGTTAATGTTCCGGTTAGTTTATTAGATGCACGCTTTGGTATCTCCACTGTTGGGTATATTTATCTTGTGGTCAGCATTTAATAGCTGTCTTTCAACTTCATGATGAGAATACCTTCTCAACGATTCTTAGGTATTCTGGTTGCTACTTGCGTAAGTTCTGTAGTTTAGTGAATACCCACCTGCAAGTTCTGAGGACTCTTGAATTTTCCAGTTGGAATAACCTGCCATTCAATCTATGTGGATCGCAGTTTTCTGTTCTTTTGATTCCAAATTTCTTATATATTTGCTTGCCTTCATTTGCAACTCCCCAAACCAGTGAGCACTTACATACACAAACACTGTTATCAAAGGCGTTCTGGGAAGTTCAGTGTACTGCCAAAGCACCCTCGGCAGAGGCACGGCGCTTAGCGAAGGGGAGGCACACGCTCCATGCAACCTTGTGAGCATATCCTGCCGCCTCCAAGGCAATTTTGAGGCAGTTCCTACCCAATATTGATGTGAGCACGATGTTGTGGAGCAAAGTCTCCCTTATAGCTCAACCATTTCGTTCGAAGATTCAGAGAAGAGTACAAATGGACTGGCATTCGACAATTCCGGGCTCTCGTCAATTGTTGAGAAATGGTAGGTGCTGCTCTGCTTTTTTGGATCTTCGTGTTGCTTTCGTCTCTTGTTCTGCTCGGGCTGGTTCTTAGGTCCTACCTTAGTTCTAGTAGGTAGGACCGGTCGGAGAATCGTCTGCTCACTCTAGGCCCCTTTTCTTTTCCCCTCGTAAAACTGAAGACAATCTGTTTCGGAGAATCGTCTTATTTTGTCGGAGAATCGTCTGCTCCCTCGTAATTCGTCTGTTTTTTTGTGGGAGGGAGTGCTTCCTTGCTAGAAGCACGACCGGTTAGTCGGTAGGACTGTCGGAGAATCGTCTTGCAGAATCGTCTTGCTTTGCTGTTTGGTTTTTATCGTGGCAGGTCTTGCTTCCTTGCTAGAAGCACGACCTGCCTTCCTCTTGCTTTGCTGTTTGGTTTTTATCGTGGCAGGTCTTGCTTCCTTGCTAGAAGCACGACCTGCCTTCCCGAGGAGCTTTTTCAGAGGTTCTTCTTCCGCCTTCTTCCACTTAGTCTTCCTTTATCTACGCAATTTCTTTAACATTCTAAATTCCATCTTTGCTTCTCGCCGTTCCTTGCAAGAGATACCTCGCATTTCAAAACGTTTAACTTCATTTCTTTCAAGATTTCTTCCACGGCCTCCATTGTTCCTTTGTATTGCTCTATTTCCCACTGTTCTGGTGCTTCCTGATTTTTGCAGATAGCAGGAAAGACTTTTGTCTGTCCGTTCACTTTAACCTTTATTTCCAAGGGCCAGTTAACGTAATCGCTCCCTTGATTGTTCTTACTTCTTTGTACGCTTATGACACTCCATACTTCTTCATTATCAGGTTGATCGTCATATGCTCGGACCCTTGTTAAGTACCTTCTTTCAATTTGATCTAAAAAGATGTTTTTTATGACTCCCCTTTTCTCATAGGGCTCTTCCTCTTCCTCTGTTATCTCCGTCTCATTCTCCTCCCTGAATATGTGTTTCCATGCCTTCTCCTTCTCTCCTTCCTTTTCCTTTTATCGGTATGCTAGCGAAGTCCAATAAAGCAATTTCATTCACTGCTTCTCCCTAATTTTTGTACTCTCTCCCTTGTATAGTGGCGATTTCCCATACAAATATGATGTATCCCTTAGCTATTCTTATGGTTCTCCCCCTGATGCCATATATACGTCCCTTGTTTGATAGGAGGATTGCCTTACTTTCTTTTAAAAATTGCAGTTCCTCGCGGTGCTCTCTCTCCCGTACGGGATTCTCAATTATACTGAGTGTCTCCCTCCACTTTTGTGCTTTCTCTACCAGTGCTTTTTTTTTCCTCTTCTATTGGGACGATTACTCCTTTCCAATTATTGTATTGTAATGATACGTCCCTTTGTATACCATCGTTAAGGTAGGGACTTTTGGAAATTCTTCTTACCATACATCCATACAAGGTGGCTACAATTCTTTCCTCCTACAATTGTTCTATGTTCGTTGAGAATCTTATCCTATAGAACCTCGCTCTAAAGGGTCAGTGGCTCTTCATTATTTGAGGTAATTTGTTGGCAATCATAATTATTAGTACGTTCCTCTTTTTCTTGAAAACCTTCGAGTATTTTGAGTCCAAGCGATATTCTTGCCCATCAAGCACCTTTAAAAGGTTATTAACGAAAGAGGATCCCTCCATGGTGGACCCTACGCTTTCTCCTCCTTGGTCGCTTATCTCGGTGTGCTCGTGATATTCGTCGAAGACTCACATATCATAATGATCGTTAGCCCCTGCAAAGTCATTTCTTCTGGCGCTGGCAAAATAAATTCTTAGCACTTTGGCTAAAAAGTGTATAAGGAGTGTTTTCTGTGTGCTGGGCTCACCATATATGAACAATTGCTTTGTTTTAATCGGCCTTCTGAAGCATAATTGACAGTCAATCCAATCTATGACGAGATATTTTTCTTTTATCTCTTCCACATCATACTCCCTTACTTCTCCCTTATCTTTTAAATAGTCGATGATTCTTTCAAAAACACTGGTTTCTATATCCTTTAATATTTTTAGGTCTTACTGAATAGGCTATGTCTGGTCTGAAAACATAGAATACATCAGGCTGCCTACAGCACCTCGGGAATGTGTGTCATCCTCAACGGATCTTCCCTATTTAGGCGCTGTTAAGCCCTTAGACAATTTCTCATTCTTCAATTCAATAAGTATTCGTTTTTTCTATATAAAGACGGATTTTTTTGTCCAATCGACAAACCTAGTTCTCTGATCTTGCTATGACCATGAGGTTGCTTCATCTTTCCCCTCCTCTTCCGGGAGATCTGGATAAATTGCTTCTGGGATCTCATCTCTGTAGGCCGGGATACTCTCTACTCGCCCATGAATGAACAAAAGGAGGACGACTTTATAGGTATAGGGGGCTTTTTCTCAGGTACACTCTCTTTCTTTCCTTTTTTTCCAATTCCCTGTGGACCTTCATGACTAGCTTGCCTGCTTCCCTCCTATCCTCCTTCCCGGCCTACCTCGCCCCATTGCCCAAAGCAAGCCCAGTTTGAATCATTTCTAAGGGCAAACTGCGCCGAACTACTTGAGAGAGAACTCGACGAACTATTGATTGACTTTCCTCGAATTGAATCAGAAGAAGCGGAATCATCGGCATAAGAATCTGAGTTAACTTCGGATAAATCGCGTATAAAAAAAAGATCAGGTAGCGTAGGCTTGCCTCCCTCGAAAAAGAAAACTGACCTTCTTACCTTATGAAGCCTTACTGCCCTTTACCAAACCTACTCGCTCGCCGAGCTTCTTTTATCTTGGTTTTTGGCTTTTTAACTCGAGTTGTTTTAGTCGCTTTGGTCATTCTTTATCTGAAGAGATAGGTGGTCGAGAAAGAGAGATGACTGACTTCCTAAGGACCCACAGAGAGAGAGGTTTTCCGGGCTACTATAAACGGACGCAAATGAGATCCAATATAAGGTCCAGAACAGAAGTTCCATAATCGAGATCTTGGCATCCGGATTTTCTTCCGGAGGAGTAGGCTTCTTCCGCTTAGCGAGTGAGACCAAAGCGTTCACCTGGGTATGAGACCCTATATGAATTGAATTTTTAATCTATTTTATATAGTTTGTGGGTTATCAAGTTTAATACACTGCTCCCACTTAACTGGACCGCAATTACCCAGCCCCAACCCTTATACTTAGGGCCGTAGGCCACCTTTTCTCACTCTCTCGCTCCTTTCTCCTTAAATGGCTGCGAGACCGGCACTGGCAATCAATTGTGACCGGTGATCCGGCGGCAAACTTCGACGAGGTAGATATTTTTAACAGTCATCTTTTTTTAATCTCCTTCAATAAAATGTTTAATTTTTATTAATAATTTGTTTTTTCTGTTTATATGATCATCTGCAAAAAAAGACTTTGCTTTTGTTTTTTGTTAGATCCTTTTTTTGTTTGGGAATGACTTTTACCTTTTGTTTTTTGTATAGTCTAAACAGAAAAATCTTACACAGTTGCACCTTGTTTTTTAATGATATTACTCATAATGTTTGAAGCTTGAGTCTTGCAATTGTCTATAGTACCCTTGACAATTCATTGGATGGATAATTACTGCTTGGAATCTTAAAATATTTAAACCTGTAGTTACTGTTTTACTGAGACTGATGGTTGAAACTATGTTTTGGGGGCATGTGCTTCACTTCACTGAGGCGTGGGCATTGCCATTTGCAAAGCCTTGATAACACTGTACACGTGTGCATACCCGCACGCACATCATAACAGTAAAACAACAGAAAGCATCATCTCCCCTCAAACTTAACTTTTGCCAGTTGAACTATAAGCTAGTATTCACTTTGGCTCTTATGTCAATCTTTTATGCAAAGCTTTTACAGTAAACATTTGTCATTCCCTTCAGAAACAAGATCTGGGTGATCAACATAAAAGTGCGGCAAGTGTTACTCTTTTACAGGCGCAGTCTGAGGGGCAGGACTGTGGAAGTCATGCAGATGACCCGACTGTCTTACTTGAGGAGATACTTAACTTGGACACTTATATTAATGAACCTGGACTGCAGGATGGCTTTAATAGCAGTAATGACATGGGAGAAAATTCTGGAGGCATGGTAGAACAGTCGCACAGCCCTTCAGGCCAGAATGATGGATATCTGGAACTAAAAGACATTTTTGCTGATTCGAATGGTCCTTGTAATACCAACTTGACTGATGTTCTACGTGTGCACAATGATCGTTCTGTGGACAATGGTCTAAATGAAGCTAACACTTGGTTGGAAGCAGATGGCGCTGAAGAACTGAATAAAGTCTGTCAGCCAGCTGAGGCTATGTATAGTCTGCATCCTGATGACTTTCTTAATTCCGATATGGGTGGTTATCCTTCTGGTCAGCTCGCGGAAGAGGAGGTTGTGTTCTATGATGCACCGAGTGACGAACCTCCTAGCAATGAAGAATATTTTTCAAATATGGATGGCATTCAGTTCTCACCTGCAGCTGACTTATCTGGTTTTGATATGGTGGATGATTTAATGGCTTACTTTGACGCTACAGACAATAATTTACAATATGATGTGGGCTCCGAGTTTGTAGCCCAGTCGAATGCCGTTTCGGAGGTAATGCACTATCAGAAACTAGGATAATTCACTGTGTTCTTCTGGAGAAGCTTGGGGCTTTGTATGCACACAAAAGTAATGCATTGTTTATATGGCATCAATTTCAGGTTGAAGCTGATGCTTATCCCACAAGCAAAACAACAGTACAGGTTCCAGGGACAAGCATTGAAAGGGGTGCTTCCTCATCATTCACAGGTCCCACTAAGGAGTTGGAACGTGTATACGAGGATAAGGCTGCTGTAACAGGTGTGTTTTTAATGATTATGAGTTCGTAACTGATTCTTATTGTACATATTATTTTGAGCATCTATTAAATGTTTTACTCCGAGTTTTTCTGTTTTGGATTAAGTGCGTGCTTAGGTTAAGTTCTGTTCTTGTTAAGGTATTCAGTACCTTGTGGACTGTTTCAAGATATTCCCCTGTTCGTTCATCAGCTTGAATTGTCTGTCACCCACTCATTTCTTTTTGGGTTTATTCCACATAACCCCCCCTCGCACTTATTACCGTGGTTGTTTCATGTCCCGGGTTAATATATTTTGACACTTCTACCCTTGGTGAAATTTTAGCAGATATTGCCTCTTGGGAGAAATTGGTGAGTACATCTGAGGTATAAAATTTATTTAAAAAAACACAAACAAACAGATGGTCTATATGCAACAATAAAACTACAGAGGTAGTAAAAGTGTGAAACAACAATACTAAGGGGGTCTATGTGCAATTTTAACCCTTTCTTTTTTCCCTATAGTTGAAATACTCCTGAATATTTTTTGAACTTCCTAGATTGATTTGCTTTCTGAACAGATGGTGAAATGGAAAGTATATTATAGAATCACTTGTTACCCCTTTGTTTCCATTTTTATTTACAGTTTTGTAAAGTTGAAATGTAGATAGCCAATTTATTTTGGTCTAATTTCTATCGGATATTCTTGATGCAGATATGCAAGTGGGTAATACTTGGAATAACTCGCTTAGAAAGCGTGTTGTGGACATGTTGGGCTCGATCTCAGCACCACCAGCTATGGCTGAAGGTTCAGTTAAAGGAAAAGCTGCTCTATTTGCTTCAACAAACTCATCTAGCTCTGTTCAAGTTTCTACTGGTATCATCCAAATACACGGCATAACAGTAATGGGAAGTAGTGAAGAACACTGGACTCTGCAGAAGAATGGAGACACGAGCTTCCTCCTTTCCTATGGCATGGCTGCTAACGGGAGATCTTTATGCTTCGAAACGAGCAAGAGGTTGCGGGGTGGAGCGCTGGGTATGCTGCTTAGAGGCGGGGTCTATCTCTTTGGCCTCTCGGTACTGGTTCTCTCTGCGAGCCTCAAGGTGGGCTTGTGTGTTTATACCAAGTGAACGAGTAGTGTTGGTTGATTATGGTACTCTCTCTCTGCCAGCTTCAAACCGAGTTTGCGTTAGTTGATTATATAGTAATGAATCTAGGTGGTTAAATAATTTTATGATTTATAGTGGGTTTCCTAAGGATTTGGTAAGGATGAAGGACCAACAAGTCATTTATAACTTTTTGCTACGATGTGTATTACTAGCTCTTCATGTTGTAACCGAAGCATTGAGACTAACGGTGTAACTTTATAAATGACTCTTATAGTATTTTGATACCTAAAATTGCGTTCATGCTCAAATTTCGACGCGTGACCGGTTGGTAAATGTTTATTATGGTTGTATTTTGACGTGATTACCTTATTATTTGCAAGTACCTACTGTCATTGCTTGCGGAGGTGTCGATTATGCTGAGCAGGTTTGTTATTGATGCTATTATAAGTTAATAAAATGATTGAAGTTTATGCTGATGAATGAATCTGCTTGCAGGCAAACCCCCAAACATGAGCAGCATTATAATTTGTAAGGTAGCGTCGGACCTTTCCTCCCCTAGTTATCCGTGCACGGAGAATTGCATTTCTTCATAGAAACCATACTCACTTTCATAGTGGGAGTTTTGGGTAAATTTTTTTTATGGTCAATATTACCTTTGCTGTTTTTAGCTATTACATTATCAATTCTAATTAATAAAATAATTTTTGATGTGATATATTATAATGTGATCCTATCCTAATTAAATAAAATATCTTTAACAAGCTAATTAAATGAAATATGTGTAAGAGGATTTAAAGTTACAAATAAATAGGATAAGATCACAAACCAATTAAAAAAAATGAATTTAACGATGATTCATACATGTTAATGGGTAATATATATTTTAGAAGGTATTTTTTGGGCAGCGTAAGCTAGGAGTAATATATTTTAGATTTTAAATGAATTCTCTCACAAATAATGAGTAAACAAATTGAATAAATAAATACGACGGCAAACCAACAAATAATCAGATAAGCAATC